TGGCTGTAGGTCGGGGGGATCAGCGAGATTAGCCAGATCAACATCAAGCTGCAGGGCAATTGCAAGGAAATCTGATGGTGTATACAACGGCCGATTGAGAACGCGAAGGCAGCTATTAGTTGCAGTCARACCAYAGAGATTGGYGGGCATCTCAGGCTGATTTTGTTGGTCAGTCATTTGTAGATCACCCGTGGGGTCTGCGCAGGGTGGTGCACAAGTATGCGGTTCATCCATATGATCCTGGTCAGCCATTTGCAAATCCCTCGTGGGGTCTACGCCATGCGGGATTAAATGCAGTCCAAGCAGATCATGTTCCAGTCCCTCAGCATTCGGGGCCACACAGGGTGGGGCACAAGTACGCGGTTCATCCATATGATCCTGGTCAGCCATTTGCAAATCTCCCGTGTGGTCTATGCCTTGCGGGGTTAAATGCAGTCCGAGCTGATCATGTCCCAGGCCCTCAGCGTTCGGGGCCACATCGTGAGTAGGGACTGTCGTTGGGAGTGTACTCTGGGCAGGGACCATATCCTGTTGCACAGCTGGGGGRCAAACGAACATGGAAGGGCATAAAACATGGTGCTGTGGCTATATATATATCTGCCTACGGTTTACCAGGCAGTTCTGTTTGTGACGAGATATATATATCACATCAGCCAACCACCTTGAACAATCGCAGATGCGCACAGAGATTAAGATGGAAGAGAAGAATACGCAAATGTCTTTCCTCCTCTACAACCTCTTGAACGTCATCAACAATCAATATCCCCGTCCAGTTGAGTGCAAAGTTCCATCACCACCGAAGAGCCACCGCCAGTAAAACTGCTATAGAATAGTGCCAAGTTCCTTTCCATGTTGCTCTCTGGGGTTTGACCACCATAACCTTCTCATAGTTGGCTGCTGCTGTGTAACAGATGCCTTTGCCTGTTCCCCTTCACAGGGGTAAGTGTCATGCCTCCGTACCGCTGGAAATGACTACCCAAAGCATAACAAATGTCTTTCCCTCTCTTCCCCTTCACAGGGGTAAGCGCCACACCTCCTTACTGCTCCAAACGACTACCCAAAGCGGGCACAGTGCAGCAGCACTTCAAGTAGGACTGTGCACTCTAGCAGCCCTCACTGTAGCACTGTTGCAGTGTAGCACTGCACACTGTGGCAGTGCTCACTGCAGCATCATTGCACTGTAGCAGCAAACAACATGCGGAATTGACAGGCTAGGGCAAGAGGTACATCTTTGAAACAACTGGATGAAGAAGCTCCACGCTCACATGCTCCGGGATAAGGCCGTCAGGTAAGTCATCTTCCTCAACTCCGGCCTCTGCTTCCTTGACCTTACCCTACCCTTACTTCGTCCGTTTCCCTTCTCCTTTGCCCACTGGCCTTATTGCACTTACACCCTACTTTTCACTTGGGTCAGCTGAAGAGAGCTGATGGAAGTTTGCTCCAATACCAAATTGCTTTGCGACCAACCATACACCATGCTTTCACTCCAGGCACAGACCAAATGACACACACACATCAAAGCACAGGTGAGATGCAACTCGAAGATACTGTCTGCGAATCAACTCAATTGTAAAGATGCGGCCATGGCTACCAACAAGCTCTCTCAGGTATGGTAGCTCCTTCCGCCAACAAGCTCTCTGTCCGAGTCTCTCCCTCTCTGAATATCTCTCTAATCGCTCCCCCTTGCAGCCTCACCTCAACCTGGCTATGGCTACTCTCTAATGACGCCCGGCAACGTGAATTACTACCACCAGCTAGAGCCAACAAACATCACAAGTCACAGTATCTGCAATCAATGGACTTCCAAGGATCCCAAAATAGCACAGCAGTGCTTCCACATGGACCAGAAGGTGAATATCTGTTGATGGCTTCCCCAATCGCGTTTTTGTACTTCGACAACTCCCCTTCCCGACTGCTGCTACCAGTTATGGGTCCAGTACCCTGCCGATGTTTGCTGCTGCCGGAAGTTTGCAAACTTTCCTGTGACTTTGCTGCTGTCTTGAACGACTCAACTGGCCGAACAACCTCTACTGAATTCCACTGACTCGTTTGGACCCATAAAGGATACCTCCCAGGAGCTTCCTACCACGGCCTACCTTACTCTGGCTTACATAGCACCAGGGACCAATAATGTAACAGTATCACCTATAATAGCTCTTTGTTTTTTGAAAGGATGCAGGATTTTGATACACTGTACGATTTTTGCACCTGAATTATCAGACACCTGTAAATATGTTCCAACAGTAATCACACTCTTCGAGCCTATTTTTTTTACTACTGTTTATTTGTTTTTGTGTTTTGCATTGATTGACTCTGAGCTAATTACGACCATTGAACAAACTTGGTGGACAAACACAACTGGGACTCGACTGGGACCGGGCCGCAGTGGTGAAGTCCTTTCGAACAAATATACCCGCCGTTACGATGTTTTGGAACAGAGGATCCTTGTTTGGCCTGAGGTATTCATGTGAGAGGCCAAACACCCTCCAACAGTTTGTACTGATTGGGGATGAGTATGGCCACGTTATTACCCTAGATTCAGTCACTTTCTGGTGCTCCACTGATTTGACTGAATCTAGCACAATAATGTGGCCAGATTCATCCCCAAAAAATTGTAGATGGCCGGGCCCTCTGTTGCACAACATGGTACCTTCAGGTATACGTGATACAAATCTCGTCAAAATAGCTTATCAGTACATAAAAGGGGTATATATTGTCACATATCTATGAACTAAAAGAGCGCACTCTGTGAATGAGACCATAAAAATAAAACTACACACGACAAAACATGAGCACTCTGAAACCAGTCATTTTTCTCATTCTCATTCCAACTCCCCCGTCACCATGCCTCTCACAAACAAGACTCGTCGCGTTGATGAAGTTGAGCGCGAGCTGCCCGCATCTCCATGTGCCATAACAGCCCACTTGTGCGCTGCTAGAAATAGGCGGAGTAAAGGGGGAGGGTATAAACACAGAAAACAGATGAAGAGGACAAAACAAGGAAAGACAACGGGAATGTAAGGGAAAGCAAGGAGTGTGGAATGAAGATGAAGGCAAAGGAGAGGATAAGAAAAGGCTCAAGAATCGGTCTGTTCTTGACAACAGAGAGGACATACATTGTAAGGATTATGTTACGGAACACGAATCGGTTAAGTGTAACCGTTATGGAGCTCGGCAAAATGACTATGCCTGTAATTTGCTCTGTATGGTGCATCGTTTCCGCAATTTGTTGGACGGTATTGTCGTCCGATTTGCACTCGATCGATGAGTCGATTGGTTTCGATTGGTTTGAGCTGCAACGGTGGCAATCACTTTGGCGAGATAGTGTTGTTCATCTCCTTACTATGTCGGATCATTGACTGAATTGCTGGCTCTTTCATCCTTGCCTTTGGATGATTTCCATTTTTTTTCAAAATCGCTCTTAAACCATCTCTTGTGTGTGTGGCTATGGAAGTGCCTGGTTCACACCCTTGTTCGAACCGCTTCATACAAGGCACTTCTTTATCAACTTCTTTCTCCCTCTCGTACTTTGCTTTGTAACACAATTCCTCAACCAAGGAAGAAACGGCTTGTGCTGCTAGGATCTGCGAGACAGAAAGCAACCCGGGTGAATACCCCGTTGCTCTAGGCTACCAGAGTGGCCCGGGACGACTTGCACGGCCGGGCCAAAAGAAATAAAAGAAAAAAAAAACGTTTTTTTATTTTAATTTTTATTTTAAATTTGGTAAAGAATTTCGATGTGACCCTGAGGCAAAAGTTGTTCAGTTTATTTTTCTGCATAGCATTTTGTTTCGGATTTTTATAATTTTTTAAATCATTTTTTTTTATTTCTTTTGTTTTTGCTAGGACTTTCGCTGGTCCTTGCACGGCCGGGCCGCCCGGCAAAATAGGGTGACCCGGGCGGCCCGACTGGTAGCCTAGCCGTTGCTGACATTTTCTGGCTCAGGGAGGGGGCTTGATGGCGCTTCTTCGATGGGAAAAAAAATCAACAAATCCAACTTGCTTGACAAACATGGAGTCTGGGTAGAAGAGATATGCAGGTTCAAGGGGATGGAGAGCTCCCACAGGACGACCCAAGAGACTTTCGATACGGTTATGTAGCATCAAAATGACAGTGAATTAACTCACTGTTGTACACTACCCTAAGTACCCTTCCACTCCGACCAATGGCGCCAGAGCCTGTTCTTGTCTGTCTCATGTCTATGCACAGCTCCAGACACCACATCTGTCTCTTTGCTGCTGCAAGGGTGCCCAAGCCCTTTATTTGCCCGTTTTATGAACTTTTATCTATCCACAGCTCAGAACATCACTTCTGTATCTTTGCTGCAACCGCCGCCCCCCCCCCCCCCCCCCCCCCCCCCCCCCCCCCNTTCACGCTCCCAAGAAACTTGACCTTCTCTCCCCCTCCTCCTCAGGGGTTCAGGACTCCGAACAGCTTTTGGATTGTTTCGACTCTCGAGTCTTTTCGACTGTTTTGGAACATTTTGGAGAGCTGCCCAACACCCTCCCTCCCTCCCTCTTAGGGTAGCCCTAAGGTTCTTGTTTCCATCTGCTTGCAAAAGGATTGAAGGTCATTGAACTAATGATATTTTGGGTGACACCTACATGTGTGTACCATTCAGCAGCTAAGGCTACAGGTTCTTTAGATGCCATTGGCCCAAAAGTTCGCTTGGAAAGTCGCACTCACCAAGCACCATCGATCCTACCCGATACCGGACGCCAATGTATTTAGCAAAGAAAAAATGCAGGTGGTTTGCCAAAGGGAGGAGGCAAGCTACAACCCCGCTTGCGAGCGCGAATGCATAACCATGCCACCTGGCACCACCGTAATTGGGCTGCAGATAATCCACCTGATCGGTACACACAGAGAACACAGGCGCAAATGGAGAAACTGTTATAAGGCCCCCAGAATGGAAGAAGGCTGTGAACATATGATCAAGTTTCAAACAAAAGTACAAAGGGAAAATTGTGGAAATACCCCTAGAAGTTTGGATAGTTGGTCAGATACCCATAAAACACGGGGGTACGCTGAAATGCACCAAGCTTCTGCATCTGCCCTCATCCCGCTCATGGGCAACTTCGCCATATGCCCCGACCCTGGGCTGCAGGGGGACGTGCATTTTTTGTGCCATCTGCAGGGTGCAACAATCATAAATACTGGGGCATATAGACAAGTTACCAAGGGCCCGGTAGGGGTATATGCAAAAGGTGACAGGTCCAATTGGCTAGTGGTGTATTTCGCAAAGTTCCACTACTGTCATAGGGGCATTTCGTCATACCCATGCCTATTAGGGGTATTTGACGAAATACCCCAACTCTCAAGGGCATTTCGACAATTTTCCCAAATACAAAACGAAAAAAGTGCTACACAAAGAGTAAAACACTGCAGTTGTTTTGCACAAACGACCCTCGGTGACATCAGAAGAAGGCTATTCATTCCAGCCTAAGTCAACACCAAATGACGCTCCGAAGCCCAATCCCCACCACAACCAACCCCTGCAAGTGCTGATCAAACTTGCTAGAATAGATGCTTCCATGTCCCAATACGAAACTCCACAAAACAGTATTCAAAACAGGGGGGAAATGTGTGTAGTGAACAAATGATACACATGATACCTCCCCAGAACAGCAGGAGCTGGGGCCAGCCGGCCCTTTTTTCTTTTTCTTTTTCTTTTCTCGAAAGAGATGCATGTACATTCACTGGCGATCAACAGAGTACAGAGTAAGAGTTGGAATCCGTTAGGCACCAGGACTGTGAAGGGCTATCTGAGAAAGCAACAGGAGGGGGGGGGGGGGGGGGGGGGCAAAGAAATTAAGGAAAATGCAGTGACGCCCCACTGACCTGCACAAATGTGCAATGACTTGCTGGGTCTGGTGGTCTGTAGCCTCTCTCGTCGAGGCTGTACCATAAGTAGGACAGATTCATATATTTGTTTGGCTGAGGGCTAACTGAGAGACCTGCCTGTAAGGAAAATTCGAGAGGGATATATCTGCAAATTCGGGAAAATATAGGCCTGTACTAACTGGAATTTCCTACAGCAACCCTAACTGCAAATAGCAGGCCTGGGCTACCCCTAGGACAGACAGGCCCTATGGGCCTAAGCTGATAGACGGTTCTATAGCCTATAGCCAGGTAGGGAGAGGCCCTAGAGGCCGAAACTGCAACAGTACCGGTCGGTCCAGTCCGTCCGGTCTAGGTCGTGTCTAGGCTAGTGTAGGTTATAGATAGGATGAGGACATCGGTTCGGTGCTTTTTGGCAGTTGGTACCGTGTACATCGCGGCTGTGCAACGCATGAACTGGAGTGGTGACAGCTTCAGCGTTGGAGGAGACAGACATAGCTGGACCTGTAGAGAGCCGGCCAGAGCTGGGCCCTGTGCTGTACTCTGACAGCATGCAGGGCTGTTCAGAGGTTCGGGCTATCTGAAGTCTGCTGGAGGTGAGAGAAGTGGTGCCCTGCTGGACCCTCTTCCGGAGTAGGGTTACAGGGTGTGGTACGCTGCAGCCGTAGCTGCAGCTTCTTCCTCAGAGTTCACCTTGTCAGGAGAGGTGGCGCTGCTGCAGACTCAGACCCGAGAAGTCAATCGGCACTTCATCATTATCAGGCACTGTGGTGCTGGTCTTCTTCTTCATCCTCTGAGAGGCACTTGGCCTCAGAGGCCTGTTTCAGGGTGGCGCTTACCCTCTGGAGGCAGTATCTGGGTGGCGCTTGATGTTTCAGGGACTCAGGGGTGTTGCTCGCGGTTACTCAGGGTTGGGGAGTGAAGCGCTGCTCAATTTTGAGCAGTGCACAATAGTTCTGGGGTTTTCCTGACAATTTGAGACTCTGGGTTTAATAAACAGTGTGTAAACTGTGTGTAGACTATCTTGCTGGGACCTGCGCTGTACTCTGACAGCACACGGGGCTGTTCAGAGGTTCGGGCTATCTGAAGTCTGCTGGAGGCGAGAGAAGTGGTGCCCTGCTGGACCCTCTTCCGGAGTAGGGTTACAGGGTGTGGTACGCTGCAGCCATAGCTGCAGCTTCTTCCTCAGAGTTCACCTTGTGGGGGGGGTCTGGCCTAAGAAGTAGCACTGGCGGGGGACTGCCCTTTTGGGGATGAAATAGAGGGGGCACAAGATCGGGCCGGAAGCGAAAAAAAGCCCCCTGAAGTGGCATAGACAAAAAGATGACATTTGGCCTGTGTTTTTGCGGATCGGAAACCTGGAGGATACAGGATCAGAAAGTAACAGCTGTGAGAGGGCAGAAAGTTGTTCGACGTTGAGAGTAGCCGTCGCCCGGTAGTAGTTTTTTCTACCCTGAGGTCGGCTACTACTGAGGTATTATTTTGAATGAACATAGTTTGGTTTTTTGGGTAGGTACGCGTAGTAGCCATTGCTCTTCTGTGGGTAAACGGTGAATGCGTAGGAATAAAATGCACGAGTTGGGAGCTAGTTTCCTCTTAGCCTGAGCAGCAGGACATAAGGGTTGAGCGTCGGTGATTTTTTCACCAACGAGTATCAGGGATTCTTTGCTGTGATATGTAACGTCCGCGAATTCCTGTTTTTGTAAGATTTGTAAGATTCACCTTGTCAGGAGAGGTGGCGCTGCTGCAGACTCGAACCCGAGAAGTCAATCGGCACTTCATCATCATCAGGCACTGTGGTGCTGGTCTTCTTCTTCATCCTCTGAGAGGCGCTTGGCCTCAGAGGCCTGTTTCACGGTGGCGCTTACCGTCTGGAGGCAGTATCTGGGTGGCGCTTGATGTTTCAGGGACTCAGGGGTGTTGCTAGCGGTTACTCAGGGTTGGGGAGTCAAGCGCTGCTCAATTTTGAGCAGCGCACCATAGTTCTGGGGTTTTCCTGACAATTTGAGACTCTGGGTTTAATAAACAGTGTGTAAACTGTGTGTAGACTATCTTTGCTTCATTGTTTCTTGGATGTGATCTACTCGGCTTTCCTTTGTGACTGGTTGTGAGGGTTCTGTGGAGCGAATTGCACTGTCAGTGCTTTCTGTCAGATCGCATGGTCAAGTCTTCCACTGTGTTTATCTCTCCCTGTGCAGTGTGATTCTTCCATCCTCTCCCCTTCCTTCTGTGTATGTATGGGCATACCTGGAAATCTATGTGAGCGAGTGTTGGTCAATTCACAACACGCAACCAGGTTCATAACAAATGGCTATGTGGGATTCCTGCAATTTCTTAGAAAATACTCTTCTTTTGATCTGTTTCCTGAGGATTCCCAGTCTGAGTCTGTTCTGCTGTGATTTGCTGTGTTGTGTAAGTGTGTATGCGATTTACCACTGCGTACATGTGCCATCTGGTCTGCTGAGTCCAGCTCTGGGTCCTTGCGCTAACTCTGGTGGGTGCGTGTGTGTGGCTGTGCCTCGGAGATGGACAATGCAGGAATAGAGAGACGGCCAGGGGCAGGACTGAAAGCTAGTGGTAGGACATGTTGGGGGTAGTTTAGCAGCCAGGGACAGAAGCAGAATTTGCTAGGGAACTAGGCTAAAAGAGTGGCCCGGGACCACTTGCCCGTCCGGGCCAAAAACAGTTGGAAATATAATAATATATATATTTTATTATTTTTGAATTTTATTTTCTATTTTAAATTTGGTAACGAATTTTGACGTGACCATGAGGCAAAAGTTGTTCAGTATATTTTTCTGCATAACATATTTGGTTTTTCAGATTTTTTGCATTTTGTTTTTGTTTTTTTTGCTGGGACATTCTTGGTCCTTGCACGGCCGGGCCGCCGGGCAAACAAGGTGAACCGGGCGGCCCAGCTGGTAGCCTAACTAAGGAAGCAATTTGGCAGGGCCTGGAAAGGTCCGCTAGCTTACCTGCACATAACGATGGTCCAGGGCCTGGATGAAGGCGGGTCGTAGAATAGGTTCAGGGCCTGTAGGTTGGTTTCAGTCTGCAATGATGTTCAAACCGAAAGGAGCGAATAGCCGGTAGGCCTAGTGCACCCAAGTAAGGCGGGTAGAGGTAGGTAGTACACTCTGTGCAAGCAGATCACTCTCTGCAATGAGCATTCTGCTCATTCACCCGGTAGTCATGCTGCTGCTCTGCCAAGAGGAAGACGTGGCGGAGCTCCACAAAGGAGAAAATGAAGCTCGAGGTTGATGAAGAAGACCTCAACTATGGAGGTGAGGGAGAAGGCTAGATTTTGAGATTCTAAATATGTGGTAGGAGGAGGACGGAGATAGGAACCGGGAACGAGACTCACCATTCGCTATGGCGCACTTGCATCTTCATCTCCAAGGTTGGTGCTGCATCTAGAAGGCCCCTGAATGGTATGCCAGCAGGTTATAGAGTTCGTCCGGTAGTCTATGCATGGTGGCCGGGGTAGGAGAGGGCACGGAAGCATCTGTGTTGTCCTTTGAACATCCGAGCTGGACTTCGATGGATATCCCACCATAGCCAGATGCCAATCCGAGGTAGAAGGAAGTTGTGGGAGGCCAGAGGAGGGCTCTTTATGTTGCTGGCAGTAAGGGAGAGGAATCGGACATTGATTCGGGCTCTTTCATTCACTGTTGTTGTTCATTATTAATTAGACGATGGAGGAGATGCTATGGAGGAAGTTGATATGGAGGCGAGATAAGGAAAAGATGACATCCGTTCCAGCGTGTGTTTATCTTCTTCTTCTTTTCTTCATTCTTCTCCTTCCTCCTTTCTGGCCTCGTTCTTCTTCCAATCTTCTCCATTTGAGTCGCAATTGAATGGCAAGTCTCTGTGCAAGCTTTGCATTGGGAGCTGACCAGGATCATAGCAAAAACTTAAGGCAGGTATAGGCCATACTCGCACTAAGACCAGCCAACCTCAACACCGGTCAAAGTAGACAGCAGACTACGACGGAGTAGGACCCAATATAGGGGCTTGAAGCGCCTCGATCGTTCTCAAGCTAACGGTTGATCGGATAGTCCTCCTTAAACCACCAGTACATGGCCCCAGGCAACCGGAGAACCTGTTTTGAGCCTCTCCGAAAATTTAGGAGGCCGAGCATCGGAGATAAAATGAATCGGCAGCAGGCGGCCTCCAAAAGGGGCCCGTGGCCGATAGCTGGCATGTACTGGTGCTTGAAGACGGATTAAGAGGAATTCGAGGAGCATTATGCAAGCCTGTCAGTCCATCCCCCATGTATGGAACAATCAATGCTGGGCAGGGATTCCTCCCCCAGGACTGAAGCAAGTGTGGGATTTGTCCATCTAAAATAGAGCAAATTTATGAGGTTTCAATTTCGTTCAAAAAATAAAATATGTCCATTTTGACGAAATTGCTGTTTATTCAGGAATGTTTCTTCCAGGGGGGAATAGAACAGCTAGGGGGAGGGGGGGGCTGTCCTAATGGGATGGGATGCACTCACAGTCAATCCTTCTGGAGGAGGTAATAAATGTTGTTAGGGCTCCCTGGGCCGTCCCACGGGGAAGTGTCAAGACTCAAGAGTGTGTGTTTTATGTAATCCTTTTGACTTGCCGGTGGAACAGGAAACAGACCTATGCTCCGCCGAATGGCAATGGAGCCGGGACCAAAAGGACCCATTGCTGTTGTTGGTTCAATTCCTGGCAGCCAAACCTCCAAAAAACTTCTAGACTAGGCTTGTGAAAGCGATATATTGCAAAAAAAAAAAAAAAAGGAAGAAAGAAAGAGATATATTTATTATATTGCCAAAAAAAAAAAAAAGGAAAAAAAAAGAAAGAAAGAAAGAAAGAAGGAGAGAAAGAAAGAGATATATTGCCATGCCCCCAGCAATACTGGATAGGAAGCAGTGGAAAAGAGAAGGAAAGAAAGGGAAAGTCAGGCAAAACCTGGAACATCAAATATACCAAAATGCATGGTAAGGTTTGATGCTGGAACTGCAGCCAGGTCCCAGGTCCCACTTGGGTGGATTCTTCGCTCTGGACTGTAGATTCAGAATATCATCGTCAAGGAACACCGAATCCAGCTAAGTGTGACCGTGCCCCAGGTTCCCACCTGATCATTCTCCTCCCCTATGGACCCCTGACCAGAGTACTGAAAGCCACTTACAATTTGTCTCACCAGGACTGCGACTGATATTCGCAAGCCACTGCAAACCATCATAAACAGGATAAGAACGGTTATCCAGTCCCAGGTTGAAAGGATAAGCGCCTTCAAAAAGCTTGGCTTCCTCCCCTTTTCTCTCGCTCTCTGCAGTCATCAGAAAGAGACGAGCCAACAAGAAGGACATTCATCAACACCACCAAACAGGAGCAGCCAACAGCAGTAGCAATAAAACAGTGCCGAAAAGAATAACAAAAAAATTGAAAAAATATTATTACACTATTATAATATTATTAGTATTATTACTAGTACAATAATAATATAACAAGGGGACCCGCCGCGGCTTCGCCCGCGGCAGACCAGGAGGTAGGAGGAAGAAGGGTAAAACGGGTCTGCGAAGAACGAACCAATCATTTGATAACAAAAATAATTATAAAAAAAAAAAAAAACGACACGTTGCCCCCTTTTTTTGTCTGGAAGGGAAACATTTGCGAGGATCAGGGTCCTCGGTAGGCCTATGGGGCCCTGTTTGCAGCATTACCCGCCCTAAGTGAAGGCGGAGGTGCCCGCCCTAAGTAAAGGCGGGCCTGGCTTTTTGCAATAGGCCCTCGACTGTCAATTTCATATTTGGGGTCCAGGCAGTTGCGACGCGCCAGTTGGTTGAGAGAAACACAGGCCGAGCAACAAAGACATTTCCACGGCCCTCCGGGCCTTTCCAAAGAATGCAGGACCTGGAAGTGATTCGCAGCCTCATACAGAGACAGTTGGGCGCCCAACCGAACGAGGCCCAGCAGCCCAGTAGCTGCTGTACACAGGCAGCCTCCTGGGGCCTTCCGGAAGCTTCTGGGCCCAGGCCAGTGCAGCCAGGCTGCACGAGTAGGCCAGCTCTTTCCATAAAGGAAAGAGCTCACTCCAGGCAGACTCATTCAGGCACTCGCATGCTAGCGGCAGCGCTGCTGGAGCAAGAGCTCGCGGCTGCTGGCTGGCGCTGAGAGGTGAGGTGCAGCACGTGCGGTCATGCAGGGAAGAAGGGCGCTGCTGAGGGCAGCGCCATAGCCCAGCCACCATAGCTGGTGGGCTTGGACTACAGTGAGGCGCAGGGGTGGTCTTCGGGTGTAAGAGAGGACAGACGTGGGAGGAAAGTCAGGGGATAGGTGAAGGATGATGATGATGATGATGTGAGGGCACTTACCT